CTTTTTACTACAGTTAAAATATTATCAAAAACTAAAACATTTTGTAATGATAACTGGCAATTAGTTTTACATACAACTGATAAGTATGCATAGTACAATTATGAAAAAAGTGCTAGGCACACTAGTACTTAGTCAGACACGAAAGTCTTTGTACACCTTTTGAGATGCAATAACTTTTTTAAAACTACACTAAATGATTTGAATTTTTTTAGATGACTGTATTAATGATTTTGTATTAAAAAAAAATAAAACTCGATTTTTAACTTTTTTATCTGAGCCTATAATGAAAATTTAAATAATACCTTTTATAAATTTCGATAACTTATAATGCATGCTAAAATTTTTATCGAAATCGGTTGACATTGTTATGGATTACAACGAATTAAAGATCGTAACAATCGCAGTTTTGTCACGTTTTTTTATAATTTTGATCAACAACTGTAAGAAATCTGTAGTTTTTTAAAATCTTTTAACGCCTGTAGCTTAACGCCGGGTTAACCAATTTCGATCAAATTTTCAGCACGCATATAAGTTACCGAGATCTACGAAAGATATTTTTTAAATTTTTCGTTATAGACTCAGATAAAAAAGTTACAAAACGAGTTTTTTTTATTTTCTTTTTGTCTTTCCAAATAATAGCAAAGTTAAAAAAAAGTATTGTAGTTATTATTTACATCATCTATTACCATTTAAAAAAATTCAAGTTATTCAGTGAAGGTTTGAAAAAGTTATTCAATTTCTGAAGGTGTATGAAGACTTTCATGACTGACTGTATGTTCACTATGACTTTATGTATAATTTAAAATTGCATAAAAATAATTATAATCATAAAATTTGTAAAATATTATAAGCTGTTATAAAATATATTCAAAAAAGTGTAAAGTGGTCAGAAGAATACTGAGTGTTTTATAATTGTACTTATGCATTCATTGGTGTTAATTCTTGAGATTGTTGTCCGTTTGTATTATTATTAGAACCAATTTGTGCTAGCGCTGATTGACGCCATTTTCCATTCTCAACATTCAAATCTTTGTCTTCACAAATGCAGAGAAACAGCGTATCTATCACAGTCTATAAGGAGATAAGAAAGTATATATTAAGATATACAATAAATTTGTATGAAGAATGCATTATACATTATTTTTTTCATACCTCATAAAGAGAAATAATGCTGTGAGCTATAAAGAATGAAAAAACACAAATAACAAAAATTGGTGCCGCATAAAAATGTAGTCTGGGATCTTGCTTCATAAATAGTAATCCAATACTTCCAGTTGCAGCTGTGACAAAACATTTGCCCAGAAATAGGATAAAATCACCTACTCCGTTAATTACTATTAT